AAAAGTTTTATGGTAAATTTTACTTTTTTTATAGTATATAGTTTTATAAGTATCGATATTAATTACTGATATAATAAGTATTTAATTACTGATATAATAAGTATTTAATTACTGATAAAATATAATTGGGATCAATGAATTTCATGAAACTACTTTAGAATGAAGAAGTGTTTAATTACTGATATAATAGAATTGGGGTCAATGAATTTCATGAAACTATTTTAGAATGAATAAGTATTTAATTACTGATATAATAAATATTTAATTATTGATATAATAAAATTGGGATCAATAAGTTTTATGAAACTATTTTAGAATGAATAAGTATTTAATTACTGATACAATAAATATTTAATTATTGATATAATAAAATTGGGATTAATGAGTTTTATGAAATTATTGCAGAATGATCATTCAATAGATTAAATTGGTGATAATGATTAAATTAGTTTATCACTTACTTTCTTCCTTGCCATTGATAATAATATTACCAATGTAAAATTTGTATTCGTTAAAAAGAAATTAAGATCAAAGAATTTGAAACAAATAATTTTTTAAGCAATATTTTTTGCCACATATTCAAGGGATTAAATTTAAAATAGTAATTTCAAATTTTAGGTAAGAAAAAATTTTTTGGAATTATTCTAATTAAAATTTAAAGAAGGACAATATTGGTATTTAATTCTGCTACAAATTGTCGAATATTTCTTTTCTTTTTTAAATTAAGAAATATACCAATTACCAATCATTGCTCATTGAATTAAGGAAATAAAAACTTTCATTTAAAAATGAAAAAAAGATAAATATGATAATTACAAATAAAATCATCTAATTATAATTAACAAGATAATAAAATTATTTAATCTAAATTATCATAAAATACTAAAATCATCTAGTGGGAATTATTAAAAAAACATTGCCCGCGATTTTAATTATAATTAGTAAGTTAATAAAATTATCTAATCGAAATTATCAAAATACTAAAATTATCTGATCCGAATTATTAAAAAAAAAACATCCGCGATTCCAATCATAGTTAGCAAGATAATAAAATTATCTAATCTAAATTATCATAAAATACTAAAATTATCTAATCCGAATTATTAAAAAAAAAAAAACATTATCCGCGATTCCATTCATAATTAGTAAGTTAATAAAATTATCTAATCGAAATTATCATAAAATACTAAAATTATCTAATCTGAATTATTAAAGAAAAAAAAAACATTATCCGCGATTCATTGACTAAACTTCTAATGCAGCAATTTTCAACAACTTTCATAAATGCTTTTAGAAACGAAGGAAAAAGAAAAAACTGACAGCTTTTCGAATGCTACATAAACAAGAGAAAGAAGTGAATATGGGACTAATTCATTGAATAACTAAATTATAGTTCGAACTTTAAAAGATGCCATTAATCAAACAATAATAGGAAAAAATAAATAAATAATTAAATTTGATTTCATTATTTAAAACTATGATAATTGTTAATAACTTCTCATTTTAATTATACAACAATAAGTGTATTACAGTTAATAAGTGTATTACAGTATAAATAATAAGTGTATTAAAGTAAATAAGCGTATTACTGTAAAGATGAACAATAATAAATGTATTACAATAGAGTATTACATACTAGTTGTTTAAGCTTACTAATTTATTCCAGGTTTGATTGTAATTTAATATTATAGTTAATATGATAAGTGTATTACAGTAAATAAGTGTATTACTGTAAAGATAAACAATACTAAGCGTATTACAGTGAAGAATTACTTACTAGTTGTTTAAGCTTAATAATTTATCCCAATTTTGATTGTAATTTAATTAGAAGAACAATAGAGAATTATTTTATCAACATTTTGAAAATAAGAATTCATTTATTAAAAAAATATTTTTAATAGGAAAAAAAGTTTTGTTATCTTTTTTTTCATACTACTAAAACAATTATCTCTTTCATAAATTTTACATAATTTCTTTTGGACATTTGAGCATTCATATCTTTAAAAGAGAAAACAACAACAACAACAATAATAGCAACAACAACAACAACAACAACAATAGCAACAACAATAACAACATCAGCAACAATAACAGTGGCAATAACAGCACGAACAACAATATCAATAACAATATAAGGAAGAAATTCTACAAAGGAGAAATTCTCGGAAAAATTAGTCATGCTGTGACATCATTTTAGATGATAAATTTGTCGAGACTATTGTCATTTCGATTAATTTTTTGTCTTTGTTGAAAAATTTTCACGAAAGTTGTCTATCTTTATAATCTGTCATATTTTTCTTACAAATGTTTCATTGATAATAATGATCATGATGATGATGATGATGATGATGATGATGGTGATGATGATTCATACTTATTTTACTGATACATTTCAAAAATTAATTTATATAAATGAATACAGAATAGATGAATATATTCCTCTATGTTAGATCAGTAAGATTTAAAAAAGTTTAAATTATAGCAATCTATTAATTAATCAGCCTGAAGGTTTTTTGACCTCACTTGTATGTTAGGAATATGTCCATATTAGAAACAATTCCAATAATATATGCTAGGGCAATCATCATCGTTGAAATAATTTTTCTTCTGTGAACAAATTAAAAGTATTACTTTCTGGACCATTTTAAAATATCCATCCAAGGTATTTAATTCAAAATTAATTTCCAAGTATCATAAATTATAATGATTGATGTTCCCATTCATAACACTTATGTTGCATTTAAACTGAAATAATATATGCTAGGGTAATCATCATCGTCTCAGTGATTATTCCATTTAATCCTGAATTATGATTTTAACTCGTATCTCTTCCGTGATAATGGTAATGTGTAATTTTCAGATTGATTTCGTTCTGGGAAAATTTTAAGAAATAAACTTATTTCTTTGGTTTCTGTTTTTTGAAGTTGGAGAAGAATGAAAGCTGCCACGTTCGATTAATATGAAATGTAAAAAATACCACGCATTAGATTTGCTAAAATCATTCATCATCATTTTAGCTCACTGAAATAATAACTTAATCTCAGTAAAAGTTACTAAAGCTAATCTTCTACTGCTCAAAGGATTGCATTTCGATGCACCGGAAGTTAAACCAATTTCACTTCGATGTTAACAATCGCATCTTTCTTTTTTAGTAGATCTAATTAGGTTATGGATAACTTTCAGTTACTTAAAAAAAAATGAGATTTACGGTTTGGTAAAAAAATCTTTCAACTGTTACTACCTTCTAAGTTCCAATCTTTCGATCATTAATTCCGGATAGTTTGCCTTTTTATCTAGTGCTTGACCGGAGATATACATTCTATATGATCCCGAAGATAAAAGTGCAATATTAATCATTGTTAAGCTTGAACACTGATCCTTAACATCATAACAAGTATTCTAAATCATTTTAATTACTCTACCTCCTTTTTATTCAACGCTTCTCATTTTCCGCTTTATCCAAATCTCATGAAGAAATTTCTGGAAAAAAAAGAAGGTAAATGAATCTCGTCTTCTCAGGCAATACGCCATAAAATCGATGAAACCTTTCATCTTCTCTTTTTCTTCATTTCTGTGTATTTTTTTATCAACTTTGATAATCTTCAAATTATCTATTCCAAAACAAAATTGACAGCTAATATGATGTCTAAATAACAAGCATAGAAAGAGATGATGTATAAATCGAAAGGAAGAGATGGAAGGATGAATGACGATCGATAGTTAATTCTATCATCAACGAAATGGATTTTCCATTTCACTCTATCTCCAATAACTCTTCATCATTTTGCTTTATTATTGTAATATTTATTTGTCAAAAACAAAACAAACAAACAAACAAATAAACAAACAAACAAGTCATGCGTAAATAGTTAATTGCAAAAAATTCAAGAAATTCACATGAAGTAAAACATAAGAAGTAAAACATCAACAGATCATTCATAGTTGAAATTTTTCTCATTATCATAGTCAAAATTTATAAAAAATTATGGGATTTCCGAATTTGAAAAATCTTTTCTTTCCTTTAGAAAAAAACTTTTTTCAATTTCAATATCGCATAATATCATTGCAGCACTGAAAAGATACAAAAGAACAGAATCAATCACCTCGTTATCTGTCTCCTGGCAATAAAACTACTTCAACTATTTCAGCTCAAGTGCACCATGCCCCAGAGGCAATTATGCTTCAGCTTTTGTATAATTGTATTCTATTAAACTTGATAGATTTCCATCTTTGGTCCAAATATAATGAGAACAAATTTTCGCATAACACAACACCGTGAATTGATCCCTTAAATTCGACACGTCTGCTATAAGGATAGGTACAAAATATGTTAGTGAGTAAGTCCTAACATGCAAAATATGCATCTCTTACTGAATGTTAATAAATCGTGTTAACTTGTAAATTCTTTATCTTGTAGTTTTTAGTTTAAAACACAAACCATACGGCACATGAGAAAAGCACAAATGTGATCAAGAAATGTTCGCACTAACGTATTTCTCTATTCCAATAATCAACAGATAAAAGAGGAACCAATTTGAACAGAATAGTTAGACCTATGGACCTCTCCGTAAATGTACAACGAAGTAAATATAAGCATTGTCTTTTTTGAAAAGAGAAAATTTAATACCATATAGTTCATTAATGATAATGCCAATGAGTACGTAAGAAGGTGAAATATCCCCATCCCAAGATGCAAATTAAAAGATGGAAAAAGTTGCATAGATATTGATACACCTAGCGCTAATATTCATGGCTCTCGGTCCCGAAACTTGGAAGGAACCGTATACTTTATGTAAGTAATAACATCTCTAGACCCACACTTTCAAAAAACTAGCTTTAAATAAATTAATACAACAGTTAAATAATAGTTAATCGGCAAAGCTTGTTCCCTTCTCAGTATATATAAGATTTGTTTATGGGATGGAAAATATTGATGAGGAATTCAATAAATGAAACTGGAAAATAAGAATAAATGAACAACATGTGATTCGAGGAAAAAATCAATAAAATCGATTTGCTTGATCGCTGAACGAAAGTGTGAACTGGTTCTGAGATAACAGTTGAGTAGGAGGGCATCTGAAATTAACATAATTCAGAATATTTCTGCGAATTATCCAAATTTAAGCCCAAATACAAAAATAACAACGAAGACAATGACAAAATTAGCTCCGCTATCCTTTATGTTTTTCATGGCCTCACTAAAACACATTGTACGTTGTTGTATAACAGCCTTCCTTATATGATGTACGCATAAATACATCTGTTTCTCATTTTCAAGGAAAATTTTTCAGAGCGTAGCATTTTTGGTGATGTTTAAGAAAAGAATTACCCATAGGGTACAGGATTATTTCTTGCAGGATCGCTGAATGCTGGATTCATTCCAACCAGATTTTGTCCCAAATTCTGCCCCATGTAAGGAGGTGGCAGTGGTGGTGCTGCAGGAGGCGGAATTCTAGAATCGAAATATGGAAGACGCTGTATCTGAGTATTCGGTATATGCATTCCAGCTATTGGAAACCTTTGCTGTGAAACAGGAGGTAATGATGGTGCATAGGCACCAGGTAAAGGTGGTGGTATCCTAAACGGTGGCATGCCTGGAAATGTGACACCTGGAAATATTTCTTGGAAAAATAAGTGAACAGACAAAATGATTGATAATGATTGACAAACTTTGGGTTATTGGTTATCTATCATTTAATGCATACGTATTCCATTGCATCCTTTATACAATTCCATATAGATTTCATAAAGGAAACTCATGGTGCAAACTGTCGTACTATTCCATTTATCAACCTAATAGATAATATCAAAACAACTACGGAAATGGATATACATTATAAGTTTACCTAATGGAAGTGGCTGTTGATACAAAGGAGGTCTTGGTGTCCTTAACATGGCTGGTAGTCTAGGTCGCGGATTCGGTGCATGATATGACGGATGGGGCAGTGGCACACCTGTCGGAACGCAACTAGCTGCACTGTGAATCATCTGATCAAGAGCTAAATCTCGATCTTCATCGAACCTACAAACGCCTCCAAATATTCTTTCTCGAGCTTGCAAATATGCTGCTTCCCTTTCCTGAAAACACTTTTAATAGCAATAATAATTAAGCTGATTTGTCTTAGACGAAGCCTTCAACCATGTTTTTCTTGCCAGGCCAACATTATTTTTTTATTCCATGGATCAAAATTTAGATAAGACCAAATTACAAAATTTCTTGAAACTATAAAAAACGATGACTGAAAAATTAGTTTTGTATGACATCACATGGACTTTAATCCTGATTTTCTTTGTTCAGATCATGCGAATTCTGCTTTTCAATAGGTGTTTTTTCAGCGATACCTTTATTGAGTATATAAAGCTTAACTTGTGTGGGTTCAAATTTCCAAGCGGTCTTATAGTTAGCATACCCGTTAAGTGGATTTGCATAAAAAATTCCCACTATACTGGTACGTAATTATGAATAATGAAACTCTAAAAAAATTTCAAACTAAATTCCTTCTTACCGATGAATTTCCGACAATGATGTTAAATAACCTTTTCGATTACACCAATCTTTAGCAAATGTGAGTGGGGATTTTCCGAGGTCAGTCAATATACAAGACTATGGTGTATCAGAACAAATCACCGCTCAAAATTCAAGAATAATCAAACCTGAAGAGTCATCGTCCTCGTTTTTTCCTCAAGCTTTGCCATATCTTGCGAAGATGACTGCATTTCACAACCTTGAGGACGCTTCAAAATTTGAAAAGCTGGTTTGTCGAAACTACAATCAGATAAACTTGAGCAAGCAGTATGGTATGACTTATCTTCAAATGCAATACAATCAGTCCACGGTAGAAACTGTCGAAAGCGAATATGAAATAATCTCCTAGTTTGTACTGAAGTAGTTTTTCGGCTTTCAATCTTAAAATGCTAACTTCAAGCCCTGTTCCTCCATTTGTTGTGCCGCTTCTCTTGCTCTCCACATCTCTTCTTCTTTTTGCTTTTTCGCCTCGATTTCTTTCTTACGTTCATCGAAAAATTTTTCCGTGGCCTATAAAAAAGTAGCTGCTTGAGTTAAAGTAAACTTGAATAAATCTAAAAATAACAACAAAAACTGAATACGACGGCAAAAAATGAAAATAAATAAACTTGAAGATTAAATCTAAAAATAAAAACAAAAACTGAATAAGAGCAAAAAATGAAATTTTCATTCCGACATAGTTATTCAGCATGCTAAAGTGATGCTACTAATGTATATTAGACTGTTGACCAGGTAAAACCTCAATGCAATAGTTATCCTCCTAAATTTAAGATTAATTCAGGCAAATAATCCCTAGTTGAAATACTTGTAATGTTGATATTCCAGCTGCCCTGGCATTCAATATCTTATTCTCTCTTTTCCTTATCGCACTTATATATTGGTTATTTATAATATCACTTTTATTGAACCATCTTCCCTTTTCCTGTAAAGGATTTAAATTTGAATTAAAACGCTCTGCAAGATCCAGACGGTTATCTACGTTTTGAATCTAGTCAGCAAAATTACAAATGAATGGAATTACTTCAATATATTTTTTGACTTTTTGACTTTTTGACTGAAAGAAGTTTTAGAATTCAGTAATCACTGATCTATTTATTATGACTACATGCAAAAAGCATCTGATATTACCATTATTTCCGCCACAGGTTGTAAATAAGGAAAATGCTAATTTCTGCGGACTACAGATAAAAAGCCATTAGAGATGAAGCCACAAAAAAAAATTACCGTATGAAAATAATAACATTCAAGTGGTTCACGATCCATTCCCCAGTGATATGGGTAAGAAATACCACATGGATGAATGAGAAGAAAATTCCAAAACTGCCAACCCTCCTCGAGCAATCTCTCTTGTAAAAACAAATTTTCGTCCTTAAGCCTATCCTTATAATCGTTTACCACGATATGTACCGTATCCAAATCGCTACCTCGTCTGTCGCAAAGATTAATCAAATCCATTTGAGCGAAGATTAACTCATCCCTCTTTTTAATCATTTTCAACAAACGTCTCGATCCTCTAGTCATTGTTCCGTTGATTACACAAACTAATGCAACTGAATGGATTACCCTATCTTATCAGAATTATGTTAGAAAATGCGCCTATAATAGTCATGATCTAACAAACGGGACAATTTTGTCCATATCGATTCTTCTCTTTCATTTTATATTCGTTAAACTCGACTAACCAATCATTTCCCATTATTGTTGCTTTGTCTTCCAAGTTTTTTTTTGTGTTTTTTGTGAAAGGTGGGTGATGTTTAGCATATCAATTTCTGAATCATAATACTATAGGCTATACAGTTATTACTGAAGATTTTTACTTAAGACATGACTGCTACAGGTCTCTTCATCCATAGCCTTAATCTTGACAGGCCTTCGTCAAACCCACAGAACCATCTGATCCCAGCGCACCAATGAGCAAATGATGGTCAGCAATTCAGTGTGCTTTGTTTAAACAGATTTTACTATTTACTTAATCGATGAAATATATTTAAATAGATCCAATAAATCTCAGAAAGTTTGTAAAAAAAAGTCAAAATGATGGAAGTAATAACAAATTAAATATTAGACGAAAATTAAATACTAGTCATATTTACCTCGTCGCCAGCCTCTTCCCAGCTGTCGGCTACATTTTCGTTCTTGGCACCCCCCTTATGACTATCTGTCATCGCCCAAACAATCACACAAACACTGAATCGCGCCCAAGCTTGAAACTGGAAAACAAATTTTTTAATTCTGAACAGTTGCACAGTTTTCACCGAAAAAATGTCCCAATATTACCAGCAATAAGTTTGATTAAAGTCTGTTCAAAACCGAAAATACCCCTCGCTTTATATTATGCTGTGCCTCTCCGATTCTATAGAAGAGAAGGATCCTTTGCATTACTTTATTTTTTGTATTGGAAGCAAGCGATTATTGTCTACAGAAAACTTAGGCGGGACTATTCGAACTGAATCGATCTGTAACATAAAAGAATCAAAAATCCAACATTAGGGACCCAATTAACTATAGGAAAATACTAAGCATGTGGAGAATTTCACAAAACTGAATGTCAAACAACCAGTAAACGACTCACATGACCAATAAACTCCTTATTTCACTTGATTCATTCATATTGATGGGGCGATTATATTTTTACAATGGATTTGAGGAAAAAGAAAGCTTTAATTTAAGAAAAATATATCGATAATTTTCTTCAATGCGTGCAGAATTGCTTCGCTGAGACTAGAAAAATTTCCAAAACAATTTAGATGGAAATATTTATTCATCAAAATTATATCCATATATTATAAAATGTATTATAAATGAGATATTTTACAAAAAGAGACAACTGTTTAAATAGTAGTACAAAAGAATGAAAAATATCGGAAAGCGGATTTTGGTTAAGGTGAACAAAACTCCTAACTCACGTAGTTTATTTTTGGGTTTATTTATGCTTAATTTCTTTCACATCACATTTTTCATCAAAGGGAAACCAAGCTGTACATTATTATGATGTTGAAATGTTCGTACACATTTGTGTTTTTAGAAATGAAACTCGAAGGGAATTGAGAACCTAATTGCAACACAACCCGAATTATTATTTATAGAACTCAAAATCATTTTGATCCTTCTTTATCACAGATTTGTACGCCTTGTCGAAATCTTTGGTTAGTACAACGTAACGATTTTCACGAACTGCGTGCATACCAGCCTACAAAATTTATGATGTAAAAAACAAGTTGACAGTTGACAGGTAATTGTTTACTTGATACTACTTTTTCAAAATTTTATATGAATCTAACTAACCTCCTGACATATGGCATTGATGTCTGCACCTGATACTTTATCTGGTCTAGCAACGAAATCTTCCATATCAACTTCATCCGAAAGATTCATTTTTGCCGTAATTGTAGAGAAAATAAGACGTTTCTGCCGGCGGTCCGGCATTGGGAACTCAATTTTACGATCTAAACGGCCAGGACGCAGAAGCGCTGGATCCAGTGTATCTTGGCGATTTGTTGCCATTATTACCTGAATAACTTCAAGACTTTTGTCTTACATCATCAGTAAGCTTAACACTCAACAAGGAAGAATGAAAAATGAAGAGTTGAATCCTTTTCCATATGCCAATAGGATTTGTCATAGTGCAACAATTCGACGGCCATTCTGTAGTTCTAAAACAAAAAAGGAGAAGTGACCTAAAATCACTCATTAGATCAGGAAGCAAACACATGATAAATCTTTCCAATGCTGCAGGTTTACCTTAACATTTGTACTCTGATCAAAACCATCCATCTGGTTCAACAATTCCAGTAAAATCCGTTGCACTTCACGATCAGCACCGGTTTGTGCATCGAACCGTTTTGTTGCAATTGCATCAATCTCATCGATGAATATTATCGATGGACTGTTCTCTTTGGCTAGACGAAATACGTCACGTACCATGCGTGGTCCTAGAAACATAAAACAACGAATGCCAGCATAAATGAACTTGATATTTATGCGAGTAATTTTTGGAATTATGACAGCTATCATATAAATAAATCCAAAAAAGAGATTTACCTTCTCCAAGATATTTTTGAACAAATTCACTTCCGACGACACGGATAAATGAAGCTGTTGTATGTGCTGCTACTGCTTTTGCAAGCATTGTTTTACCGCATCCTGGTGGGCCATACATAAGTACACCTCGCGGAGGATCAATACCGATCTAGAAAAAATTTTGCACGATATCAATTAATGCAGATAAGTGGCAAAATGAAATAACTACTTCATTATTCATATTATCGTTTCATTAAAGGATAATGCAATTTGAAATATTAAGCATAGCTTTAAACATTAGAAAAGCGTAGGTTCTACGTTAGTGATTATCCAAACAACAGGCCAGCAAAATAATGCCAATAATATACATAATTTGAGCAAATAGAGTGCTAGCTTTGAATACTCAATGCTTGCATAATTTATTTCAATTATCCGTGTCTACTTTCTCATATACAAAAAAAGAAAATAACCATGCCGAGGTGGCAATGATCAATCAAAGCATTATGATATTCCAAAAAATCGTTCCAAGAAATCATCGTTCAAAAAAAATTTTATCAACTTCCTGTGAAACTTTTAATGAGTAAGAAACCATGCACAAACTAGAAACTCAATGGTAATTTGAGAACATGAAAACATAGAACCTGTTGATAGAGCTCCCCATGAGTAAGAGGAAGTTCCACTGCTTCGCGAACTTCCTGTTTCTGCATGTCGAGACCTCCAATATCGGTATATGAAACCTGCAATAAATTAAACAAACAATTATACATTACTATTGGGTTTAAATAACAAAGAACTGGTTAAAGGTAAAAGCAATAACTAATTTAAATTGTATCATCTGACATAACGCGTTGTTTTACACCACACAAGAACACATGAGCTTCCTGTGAGGGATTCATGCTATCAGACGCCAAACAATTCCGTTTAATCCATTGATAACGGAAATCATTTGAAATGACAGTTCTTCATTATCAGCGATCTAATCAGCTTTAACACTCCTAACACCACTGCCCTGCTAGCATAACTTAGGAAACATTACAGCAAAAATGCCTATAACTACAAACATCAGGTTTTTCATCGGCACGGAGCATTTGTATTGTCGAATCTGCTTCCGGTGGCAATACATCAACAAGAGCATTGCTATATTTATGTAATGCCACGCTACAACCAGGCTTCAACAGCTCACGATCCAAAATGGATAACACGCGAACAAAATAATTTGATCCTGAACAGAGATAAAAATTTGGCACTTCCGTTCAAAAATTGACTAACAAAGACAAGCTGAACAACACATGCTGCTTCAATAACAGGGACTCCTAACTTCATCTAGTTATTCCCTTAATTTTTAAATCTAGAACTTCTATTTAACGGCAAAGCTCATCTCACCTAATCCCGAAACAATTACACGTAAAAAAATGCACGCCACTATAAACCTTTACCTGTAGTTGACCCTACAATTGCATGATCTTGGTCAACGGCTTCCAGGAATTGTCCAATAACTAAAGGGACAGATTGTATTCTTTTAACCTGAAATTATCATTTTAACCCAAACGGAAATAGTACATCCAAAGTACAATTCCTCATCTTTCTTGTTCTATCAGCGCATGCCTGAATCCCTCATTTAACATGAATCTTATATCGTTTACCTCTTCTTGAGCATGTAATAATTCTTTTTCTAGATTTCGTGTTTCTAGCTTTACATATTCCTCCATAACATCTAAGTGTTCAAGCTGCTTCTCAAGCTTCTTGTACCGCATGTAATCATCAGGTTCATCCAGCCCCATTGTGATACCCTCCCTCGTCGATGTGCCACATTCGCTTGGCATTTCCTTCAATACAATATTTGGAGTAGCATTAGTTCAGAATTACGATCCCTTTCATGACCAACTTCGATATAAAAGAACCAAAGGCTTGTTAACGAAGAGATAAACCTTGCGAACAGTTATAACACAAGCAAATATCAATTTTAAACATAATTACGGAAGGCGACACTGACCTTCTAATAAAATGTTATCGAGAATCAATTAGATTAAATCACACCTGTACATCAACATCTGCCATTGTTTCTTCTTTTTGTTTCTTAGAACGATCCTTTTCTTTTCTGGAAAGAATACCTTCATAACATCATGAGCTATAATCAGTCAAACAAGTCATGGCACCACGTTATCACGTACATACCACTGTTACCAACTCGAACCGACCAATCAACCTGTCCCTCTCTCCAGAATTAGCACACCGTATAGCAGGAATCGCTACGAGACCTTGAATTTCAGTAACATCATGTAATGGAGGATTACATGGAACAACCTCCTGAAGGATGAATGAATTAGTTTTATGTTGCCATGAGATCAGGTTTTCTGGTTGCTCGTTCACTGATACATTTAGGCTTGACCTTAAATATAAAATATCCGAGGAACTTTAACTTGAGCCCATATTTTTGTTGTCTCAAATTCGCTATATAGTAATTACGTTTTATACCAATCGTTTTAATTCATTATATAAAAATCGCTGTAATGTCTGAAATAACTATTGGTCATAAAATGAAAATGATAAAAAAGCATGCATTCATTCATTGAGCGCACTTAGCAATGAAAAATAAGAACGAACGAATAGGTTAGTGATTGGTTACATGTTATTACATAGCTTTAAATTATTATAGCTACCGATAATGAAAGGAGAATAAGTCTATAACGCCAATACAAGTTATAACGTCATAACTATAATGTGAATGAAATCGAAGTAATTTTAAACAAATCAAATAAACAGCAATTCATTGACACATCAACCAGTTAAAGAAAGATAACTTTTCATTGACACATCAACCAGTTCGAGATAACTAATTCTCAACAATCACATGAAAGCAGTAACTGATTATTATTTGCTGTATCAGTGTATCATCATCGGTTGGTACCCCATTATTGACACCGAAAGGAAGGATATAATAATTTCAAAAGAAAATTTATTATTAAAAATAACAGTCTTTTTGTCCTTCTCTTTTCTTTTACTATTTCCTTTTTTTTCATTTTACATATTCATATGTTTCTTCAAATACTTTTTGTAAGAGTAAGCGAAGCAAAGGAAAACAAAAATAGAATGCATATCTGTAGTAAGTATAAGAGAAAGAAAATAAACAAAAAGTATGAAATGAAAATTTATAAAATATATACAAAAACAAACACATCTATTATCATTGAAGATTTGTAGATGAATTCCAGTAACAGTGAGACATTCGTGTTATTCCTATCATTCTTATTTATTATCTTTGTTATCCTTGTCATTCTAATCACTCTCATTATTTATGTTATCCGTTTCATCATTATTTCGCTTATCGCATTTTAATCTTAAAACAACTTTTTCCTTGAACGGACAATGCCTGAAAAAGAAGAAGAAAGAATATACTAATTATTATAAAATACCTGATACTATTACTGTATGTTTTTTAAATATCCATAATCAATTGAAGTAATGAAGAGAATGAAGAAATAAATGTTCGATGATAATGTTAGCAAAAATAATGTGTGGGCGCAGAAGCTATTTGATTGTAAGTTTAAAAATAATAAGAAATAAAATTAATACTGTTAGCACTTCTTCTAAAAACATCCAACACAAATCGGTCAACAGTGAGGATAATTAACATAACAATTAAAATGGTGCACAAAAATATGAAATACTTGATAAAAAAAAATTTTTCAAATGATAATGAAAGGCATTTTTACATGCCGCATCTTTATAGTATCCATTCAGCCAAATAGCATCAATTTTACTGAAGATATTCATCAGTAATCCCAAATAAGCCAAATAGTAATAATCTTATGTTAAGTTCTTAATGGAACTGTTATATTCCTATTAGCTACAAGAGATTATACGGCATTAACCCCTTAAGTAACCAAATTTGCGTACTAGATGAAAAAAAGGGGGGACTTACTCTAAAATGATGTGGAAAAATAACCAAGCGAGGGGTACCACGCGAATTAATTACTCCCAATATAGGCGACTCTCTGAAATAGCAGAAGTCTCCTTGTGAATTATTCACTTCACTTAATATCTTTTTAAAAAAAATATTTAATAATTTTTAAAGAGGGAAAAGAAAACTTATCTATAAGTAAGGATGAAAAAGATAAATGATTACTCACATTAAGGTATGATTTTCCCTTCCATTTGCATTACATATTTTGCACGGCTTCATGCATGCTAATTTCGGACATTCCTTTTTATTATGATCTTGTGGAAATTCGCAAGTAGCAATACAATATCCACATGACTCATTCTGGAAACAACGAAGGCAAGAATGGATTCAGGCTACTAAAGTAAGCTGGAACTTTTCTTCCGGTGAAAAAGTATATATATTAAGCAGCTACGTATACCATCTAGAAATCTAAATTGAAAGATCAAATAAAATTTTTAAAACAAAAATGATATATTTTAAGTCTTAAATTTTAGCTAATCTATATTTAAATTATCGATTATTCAAGTTTAAATCTATCTCTAATTTAAAAATTATTAAGAATTATCCAGAAAAAAATGGATGAAAAATTGTATATAACTTAGTAATGAGCTTATTTTACTAGCTGCCAAAAAGCTAGCATCTCTTTCAGCTTATGTAATTGCTGATTTCAGAAACTATTATTGAAAGTTATGCATTTGCTGATTTCACTGAGAGTTAAGATTCTATTTATCTCCTAATGGCCAAATCCTTAGCTGTCAAAATGGATACAGGTGAACAACTCAATGAATACAGATCAAGTGGTTACAGTGATTACAGGTTAATTACTTCATAAATCTTAACATCTCAAATGTTACACCATTCTTTATTAAATTGTAATCGATTTCCGCCCACGATATGAATTCATATATAGTAAAAAAAAGTACCGATGAGGATAGTTTAACGCTTCGTAAATCTGGCTGTAGATTTCCAGGTGATAAATGTGAAGTAGACGTGACAAGTGATGTGCCAAATAGTGATAAACTCAAATTTGGTGCAAATAAATGAGAAGTAGGTGTAACAGGTGGTGTGCCAAATAGTGATGAATTCAGATTTGGTGTAAACGAATCAAACTGAGTCGGACGATTTGAAATGGAATGTCCAGAAGCAATTGGCATATATTGAAGAAACGGCTGAGGCGAAAATGATGAAGACCTAAAATTGTTTCCAAAATTATCATTTGGTATTGTCACAGACTGTTGTAACCCCGCTTGGTGGTCGACTGATGTTAATAAGTTAGCCTCTGTTACTGTACTCTGTCCCTCCGATGACATTTGCCTTGGTCTTGATGGGACTGCTGATTCTACCAGATCTACCAAATTTTGCAAAAGGTGATTTCGTGGATTGTATAGTTCCCTGAAAATCATTTTGACATAATAAACAAAATCATTGCTAAATTATTTCCTATTCCTAGCCAGTAAAGGTTATTTTCATACTTGAAAAAAAAAAGGGAACTAGAAATTATCCCATTTATACTAATTCCACTTTAACCTAGCATGAAAAATATATTAACCTTTCTCTTCGTTGAATATGTTTCACTGAAAAGAAATCCTCAGGTAACATAGGATTTACAGAAGGAGTATGCCTGAAATAAATCTCCTTTTTAACCATACAAAAGACAATTCAAACAATTTTAAAAAAATTTCAAGTGTTCAATTTCTTTATGATATAGTTGATGTATCACTAGCATTCAGATAAGGTAAGAATAATCTGACCATTCGTATCATAAAAACTAAACTAGTAGTAAACTAAACTGAACCAAAATTAAATTAATGCCTGAACAAAACTGAACCATTAAGATAATGAAATAAATCAATCGCTATAAATTAGATCAAACTTAAAATAACCAACAAATAATTGAAGAAATAATTTTATACTATGATGGTAAATCAAACCATGATTGATAGAGTAAAGATTCTGGAGTACCATCTTCCACCAGAGGTGTTGATGCAAAATGCAATACACTCTCAATCTTCTCTTTGATAATTGGTGATGAAAGCGGTGAATTGTAACCATTATCAAACTGCAACATAATTAAACTGATAAAAAATAATTAAACTAAAACTAATAATTAAACTAATAAAAAAATAATTAAACTAAAACTAATAATTAAACTGACGAAAATAATTTTTCAAAAATGAGCTTTTTTTCTATCGAATTTTTTTTCTCTTTTCATTGACAAGCACTTCACTTGGTTGAAGCATCTGATGCATTTGTGAAGATCATACTGACAGTTTTGAGATAAGTAATATTGAAAATGAAATAAGAGATACAAAGAATAGCATAAATGATACGATGAGTGAGGAGATAAGCGATACTAAGAGATGAATAGCATCAGTTAGATTCCATATAAATATCAAAAGCTTCAATTCGGTTAAGTAACTTGTCAATGAATCGATTCGAACAGTAAAATATATCGTAGTCTGATTTTGAAAGATCTCCTTCAGTCCTATCAATTAATTCTACCGAAAATATTGCAGAAAATAATTTCACAGTTTTGGTATTTTTAGTGCTAGAAAGAGGAAAATGCAATGGAACTAAGCCAAATTGCTGATGGTTAGAATGAAATTGTTTCGAATGGAAATACGTACCGGCTTGTATTCTTCATTTAAATTATGTTTAAGTTTCGGAAGTGCTTCTGGCCGATTTCGTTGATGACTATTTTCTTCATTCTGATTGCTTTCTTCTGGCTTGGAACGATTCTCGTTATCCATATCACTCATATTATCGCCAATAAATCGTGCCTAAAATAATAAAAAGTTAATTGATACAAGAAAGAATGAGAAGCATTAGGAAGACCATATCTTCATCATTTTTTACCTCCACTAAGATGACAATGAATTATAACAAAATGGTAATATTTTTCCTATTTTTGTTGCATGATAATTTCCAGAAATGAATATTATGACGATCGTTCAAGAAGAGCTCATAGTACCATCGATTAGATTAATCTTCCGGTCGATATGTTGATTCTTGGATCGTATAGCTCTCGGTACATAACACACTAATCCTCACCTTGCTTTGATTTCCCCGCACGATATACTACTACTATTTGGGCAAAGTTTTATGGCAATATTCCATAAGTCCTTTGGAGAATTCAAATAGTCTTCTTCTAGGATGAGGTTAGGATATAGAAATGTTATTAGGCCTATAGGACTTAAGAATGCGAAGAAGATAAGAGCGACTAACCTGAAAAATAAATAAGCTACTTCTGTATTCTACCTAAGAATATCAGAAATGTTCAAAAGACACAATCTATGCGGTAATATCATCATCTCTTTCCGCTTCTACTATCTCATATGTTCATGTCCACTTTCCGCCTACACTTCCACAAATTAATGGAAAGAAAAGAAAAGAAAAAAGAAACGGACTTTCTCCCGATGATACTAAACTGGGATAACTTATAGCAATTCACACATATAAACTGCCATCAGAAACAACTACAATTCGTGCAGTTATTCTCAAAGAAAATAGCCCATAAAAACTATCTTATCCATTGAGAAATATCACCTGGATATCCCGGTAATAGTATATGAGTATCCTATTGTATTATAAAACATTGAGGCAAACATCAGGGAATGAGCTCTGTATCCTCTACAATGGTTATAAAGCTAACTTTCTCACGGCTTCTCACCTCACCTCATCTCATCCTATCCTATCCTATTTTAGACCTGACTGTATATTGATTGTAACATTTAGGCGAATGAACGAAGAAGGATGAGAAAAATATTATTCACGTGATGCTCAGAGAAAAAAAAAAAAACCTAATTAAGTAAAGGTTTATGCAAAAATTGGTAATATCGCTTTTATCCACCATCAAAATGCATCTTCCGGAAACTTCCATCCAAATCGGTTTACTCATTCTAATTAATCCTATTTGAGATCAATGAAATATTAGGTAACTTATATTATTCACAGTCTCTTAACTCAATCAACTGCTCATACTCATCCCGAGGCCGATTTCCTGATAAGAATTCGATATTTTCTTAATATCGAATTATTTATAGGAATACCATTGTGGGATATCATTATTACTATTATTACTATTATTACTTCCTAACCTATTGGTCATTGGGATGAGGTCATATTGTGAGGGCAAATATTGATGTCACGGAACATTTACTCTATATGATTCTGGACATTTTGGTATGGTCGGCTTTTTTTTCATGGTGTTTATTCCCTCCAGTAATCTTCGCTCTGTTATTTCGCCGCCATGAATTGTGACCTAAACCGCGGAGGTTGTACTTTATTGATTCATCATCTATCAGGGTTTAACTCTCCATTCTTATTTTCCTCTTTCACTCTAACTCTTTATCAAATTTCTTGTAATTCAACTTCAAAATACTTTATCGATTCTTATTTCATCACAGTTCAAATCTTCACCTAGTAAAATGATCGCTCTCTACCATTTCAATGATCGATCATCCCCGTATTATCGAATTCTGAGGAAGAATTCATTAAAAAATTTACTGAAATTATGAGTAATATAAATCGCAATAATATATTCTAAAACATCATTTCATATTTATTTCAATTATAAAACGGTGATCGATGTCCTTAATTTGCTACTATTAACTATACGGTAAGTAATACTATGCATATCAGATAGATTTATCTATGCAAACAATGGAAAATATTAATGAAGAAAAAAATAAATTAACAGTAATTAATAATTACACACAATATTATTCATCAATTAATAATGAATACATTACGATAAATTCTGAAATTCTTGCATATCTAATATTTCTTAATTTTCATATTCTTGAAATTTTTTTTTGCATATTTAATATTTTAAAAAAAACGTAGTATTAAATTTAAATGAGAGAAGTGGGAAAAATTAGAGAGAAGAAAAGATCGATTATATAAAATGATTTTATAAAAATGATAATCATATCGGATTGATTTAGGGATCAAACATTAATTAACCGAAATAGAAGCTAATGATTTACTTATTAAATGATTGTTTCCTATGACCTTTTTGTATTATTTTGATCACTTTGATCCATTTAACCTTTTAAATATTTCTATTTTAAAAAGAAGCAATACTACAAAATAATATTAAAATCTAAAAAAAGAATGTTTCAAAGTTGGACTTTATGAAAATTAAAATGTTGCATAAAATTCAGGTAAATATCTATCTATCATTACAATTTTTATCGCTTACCTTTTTTTCAATTATCCTGAACATTTTTTTTCCCCCTTATTCAGAATTATCTTTCATGAAAATTATTGACATATATGGAAAGCAATTCGATTTATTCCGGTTATCATCATCAGTTCATCATTTACATAATATATCTATAAATATGCAATCTATAGTAATTGCGGTACAGTCTATTCATGATTTGATTTTCCTTTTTATGCGAAATTATTCCATACGAAATTCCTCTTATATTATACTATACTTTGACAGTTAATAGCATACGTTCAAAACTTTATCATCCTCTCATATTATGCTATACTTTGATAGTTAATAGTGTATGTTCAAAACTTTATCACCAAGTAACTGTTGTTATCATCCGGAAACGGAAAGCGTTCAATTAAACAATTAACATTTATGCAGTGATTTTTATAAAAATTTTTGCATTTATTCAATTGTAAGAAATTTTTTGTTGACAAACATATTCCATCTAATATTGTTTTAAGTGGAATGTTTTTGAAAAGGATGATTAAATCAAGTTTAATTTTCAGTAACTGTAAAAATTTACCATGCTAATTAGTGTAATGTAATTAGCAAAAAATGCTTTCGAACTATACGATCTACTAATTTTGATGATTATAATTTTAGGAATTTAATTTATGATTTTAAATAAAAAAAGTTGATATTCTTTATCTTACTTCTAAAAGATTTTCCCTATTCATAATCATAATTTCAAATTTCCAATCATTTCTAATGTAACTGAAAGAAGTTTTGCTATCTTCTTAAATATCAAATTTGCAGCTGGTACGAATGACAGTTGTCGTAGCAATGATAATGATCATATCAATAGTTATGTGTTGGAGGAAAAAGAAAAATTTGAAAAAGAATTCCGCCCAAAAGACATTTGCGCCTAATAAAAAGAAGACAAAAGTTTGTTACATCTTGCATCTTCTGAAGTTTGAAAATCGTTTAAGCAAATATTTGATATTGTAATTTTAAGCGTTTTAACACTAACATTTCTAATTTATATATATATATAGTATATAATACATAGACAATAATAATTTAATTAATTTAATTTTTAATAATTTAATTTTTTAATACTAATTTAATTTTTTTTTGAGTAAAATAATCTATAATTAACTTTTTTCATTTTCTCATATTCATTTCTAAAAGAAAGAATAAATGATATTAATTAAATTGAAGATTTTTTTTATTGCATTGTTTTATAGTTAATTGAAAGATCAGTTAGCCTTCAATTTTTCTAATCGATCGTTTTATTTGAGGTTATAAAGGATAAGGCAAAAAATAAATTTAAAAAAAAAGACAATTTATTAGCATCAAATCAAGTAGCAGAAGAGGTAAACAATAGAAAGGTATGCTATTTATTGAGCTTACTTTTTACTATTATTTTTTCCATTTAATTGGCTCTTTCGAATTTTCATATTTTTTGTAAGTTTCTTTGCAAAAACAGTTTATCCATATCTCTCGTCAACATTACCATTATATCCACCACAGATGTTTACTACTTCTTTTTTCCCTATCCATTTTTTCATGTATACTCAAAGTGACCTTTATAAGTCAAAAATGCAAATTATCAGATGTTACTTCTCTTGTCCACTCATTCATCTTTCTTTTTATCGTTCTAATTCTTATGTGCAAGAAAAATGAAATTAACGACAATTTTAGAATTGAAAAAGAAACAAGATAGAATAGTGGCTTTCGCTTTTTTAGACATTTCCTTGTTCTTTTACTAACGATAATTTCTCTCTTATAGCTGTCAGGAGGAAAAATTTATTTACATAATTATAAGTTAGAAGAAGTTAAGATTTATTTGACTTACGTATTTCGAGCTATTGCATAACTTCATTTTACTTAACTTATATCCTAATTAAGCTATAATCATTATGATCATTTGTGTTATATCATTTTATAGAGTTTAAAACGATTGCAGAGTGATCAGAAAAAAAAGGAAGCAGATGATGACGGTAATATATCATCAATTCAGGTTGAATATTTGGATTACCAAAGTTTTTTGTTTATATTTAATTATAATTATTTGAGTGATTTTTGAAGCCGGTTATGTTTTCCAATATTTTTGATCTACTTTCTTGTATTTACAGGTTGAGAAAAAAAGATAACACTCTTTATTTGCTCAAAATGATATTATTTTTCAAATCTTCACAACAGTTTTTTCCAGGCTTATGACGTGGATTATTACAATCATGATTCCAGACAATTTCCTGATTCAGATGATAAAGAAGCATTTTATCCACCTGTTACGGAACCCACACCATCAACAAAAAGAAAACGAGAAGAGGATTTAGAAAAAGATAAAGAGCAAAAAATCAAGGAAGGATTCTATCAGGTTTATTATTCAATGACATATGATTAATTAATGATCCATGGGATTTCTCGAGCCACAACTTCATTCATAATAATGTTTGCATAATTTTCGTTCGTGATAGTCTTGATTGAGGTAATCATTTGTTCGGATAAGAAATCCACTAACGAAGCAAACCTGAAATTCATAAAAAAATATTTAACAGTATTGGAGTGATTTCTCGAATCTTTCAATTCAAGAAAAGCTGATTGCATTTGATTGAGATGATTGAAGTTCAAATTAAAATTTCACACTTAATTGAGTTCTTTTGTTCATTAAGCAACTTTATTAAAATGTAAGCCAACATCGATGTTGATTTTTACAGTCACGATCTGATGAAGACGATACACTTGAACCGGTCAAGAGTTTGAAAGATGAAGAGACTGATCCAGAGGATAAATCAAATAAGTCAAAAAAAATTAAACAAATAAAAAGTGCTTCACAACGAGCTGCTCAAAGCAAAAAATTAAAAACTCATGCACAAAAAAAGTAGAATGAGAAGCAAAGAGAAGCAATGCGATAAAATTTAAGACAAAAAAATAATATCAGTTATTCGTGTATTCATGCTTGTCGTTAACTCAAATAAACAATTTCATCTGATCATAAAAATATAATTAATATGAATACAACAGTAATTAAATTTTCCTTTAACAAACTTAATCAACAGCTAAATTGGAAGATGTTTGAGCAATACACAATTGAGCTCTTCATTCGAAGCTCTTGAAATAGAATCATCTTGTTAAGGCCACAAATTCCACTGCCCACTGCCTTAATTGCGCTTAAACAAAAATCTAATTGCTCTGCGATTTCTGACAATTTCTTGGCCACTATATTATTTCGTTTCCTATTAAAATGATAGTAGGAATGCATAATTAGAGAAAAGAAATAACGATGATTGAGAGTTAATGCTCTCCTTGATCGTATTAAATTGCTTGCAATTTTTGCAGGATATTTACGGATATTTGCGATGGTGATGAAACAACAGATCGTTGTTGTGAATTCGGTGTAAGTAAATAAAGTATCATAAATCCTAACACACTATAATTTGTATTGCCACATCTTGCTTCAAAATTTGATACGGTCTGAATGGAATGATATTGTAAATCCCGAACGCACTTATTCTTTCATATATTTCCACTCCACTGCCTTGCTAAGACGCGCATGCGATGAAAAACAATACCAATCATATAATAACAAATTTTAGCTTTCTAATTCTCAAACGTTTCAAAAAACTATTCCATGCTTCACAAGCAGTCTAGCCTGCCAACAGCTATCCCTGCTTCATTTTTCATCCACTCTAGTCTTCACCTGTTTCCAGAGCCAGTTTTAGGGATTACCTTTTTCATTTTTAAGGGCCTTTTATCATCTGTATTTGTGCCTCATTGTAATAATTAAAACTATTAATCATACATCATCCCAAAACATTTCTAGGCATTCAAAAGCACTCATGTTGAATGCCTTCTTTTGATGTTGTATAAAATCCAAGCAGCCACAGATGGAGATCGAAAGATCGAAAGAAATCTTAGGAGTCGTAACAAAATGCAAATTTGAGTTTGAAAATAATGACTGGAAGATACAAAAAACCCGAACAACATTTGTAATCCCATTTAATGGCATAATCCTTCGTTCCAGGAGCTTTTAGGATTGCTATAATAAAATGTGCAAATCATGCTAGATTCACGCTGCTTTCATTAGGAGTAACAGAACTTATCGAACGAAGATGGCATTATACTAACAAAAACAATGGTAACACAAGTACGTATGATTCTACAAAAAGTACGAAAAATTACGCCTGAATGCCCATTAATGGGAAGGAAATGATGAAACAAACAATCGCTAATAAGAAAGAAAGAATCAAAGCAAAAAACGGCGCCAAACAAGATGCTTAAAAAAGTAACTACCTCATGGTAAAAATGCGGACTATGCCATACAGTTACTTAATCTTCATTCCTTAATTTCTCCAGAGAAATTAACGTCAAGCTATTGTTTTTGTTTTACACTTCCATTTATGCATAAACAGGTTAAAGAAAGTCTCACTGTCATAGAATTATATCAGGACAACGAATATATCAAGAATTATGATTTAAATCAAAAACTTCGTTTAACTGCTCGTAAAAGGAAAATTACGAAACAGGAAAAACGAAATTTCCGATAGTAAAAATGAAGTTTGGCAGAGCGAAAAATTACAACGATAAGCTAAATAATGTGCTTAATTATCGATGACACAAATAAACAAAAAAGTGAATTATTCAAAAGAAAAAAATGGTTAGAAAAGAATGAGCACACAGGATAGTGTGAAAAATGTGTTTAACAGGAGACATATATAATATTCATACTGAAGAGAAAAAAATTCAATGAGATGCGCCGCTCGAATAACAATGAATAAATATTTGAATTAAATTTAAAAAAAGTGGCGTAACGAAAGCATTTGAGGAAATGTTAACTGTTCAAAATTATCTGAAGCGATCCCTTCGTGCAAAATTTTAAATAAAAGAACTGCCCTCCTAATATTGTCGTTTTATTGATTTCCACCTTGTGGCTGCTGCTGCTGCCAATAACTGAAACATGCAGAAAAATAATGAAACGGAACAAATATTTACATTTAGTTCCTACTAAGAAAGTTGGTTCTGTACAAATACTCTGAAATCAAACAAATACAAGCCCAAAACAAGATATGTGAGATTCTCGCATGTTTAAAGACTTAAATTTTTACAAAACACAATTTCCTTATACTTCCTGAAGTATTGGAGCCCGTAGGAGTCAGTTTACCTCTGCCATTGCTGCTGAACAAGCTGTGGATTGCTGTAATACTGTTGATAGTAATTCCAGTACTGTTGTTGAGCTGCGGCACTACCACCTGGACCACCTGATGCACCATTTCCGTATCCATAAGCCCCATAGCCTCCATAATTTGCATAAGCTTGAGCTTGATTATATGCAGTGGCTTGCTGGTTATGACCCTAAGGAAAAATTTTTAGAACTAATGCCTGGATGCACGAAACATATTTAAGACATTATAAAGGGTAAACTTAGAATACAAACTTTGATGAAAGAAAACTCGGAAATTAACTTCATTTTTTATTTACTGGCTTGTCAATTTTGCTTAATTCCTCTATTAACGGTGCGAAATATCAACGAATTAGTACTCTAAAGTTATAATATAACATTATGAAATGTAATTACGCTAAGCATAGAAAATAACATTTGTCATTAAACAGTGGGCAGTAAAACAGAAAACGAAAGATCCACAACCCATGAAAGTCTCGGCGACTTACCTCAGGTGTTCTTCCCCAAGAGCATTTTATGTTCTGACCGCAAAGTTCCTGTCCATTCATTTTGCATATGGCATTACAAGCAGAATCCTTTTTGTCGAAACGCACAAATGCATATCCTTGTGATTTGAAGATTCGAACTTCTAGAATACGACCGAACTTGTCAAATGCTGCTCGCAGATCTTCATCTAAAAGAAGAACTTGAAAAAAAAATAGACAGCAATGCTTGAATCCTTTAATAAAAGAATGTGATTACCATAGCACGTCCCTCCGAATTTCTTATATCTTTCTAAACTTTCTAAACAAAAGAAGCAGAAACTATTAAAACTAAATAATCAAGTTGCTCGAGCCACAAAGCACAACAGTTATTGTTGTGCTTTACCTAAATAAATTTTGAAATTGCTATTAAAATTGTAGGAACACAAATACATCCCAAACGCCATATAGTTCGAGAAATGATTGTGCTACAAAAATTCAATATTATGGCACTTCTCTGACACTAACCATGCGACAATGCTTTATAAATGCACCAAGACGGCTCATTCACAGCGCAACACATGTAAGCTCTTAAGAAGTGCCTTTATTATAATCAGCAAACTATCATTTTTAAGTTACTAACACTTAAATACTCTCATAATCCTTCAATTGACCCACCGTTAGCGCTTGCGTTAACATTTCCAACGTAGACAGATGTATTGTCAGGACCCGTCTGATTATAGACGTCATCGTAATTTAATTCGGTGCGTCCATATTGCCCATCACCAGCACCAGTACCAGTTGGTTTACGTGTTGCCCAATTTGTGCGAATTGTACGTCGTCCCAGCCACTGACCATTCATTTGTTCTATTGCCCGCTCTGCTTCCTAAATGTTCAATTTTTTTGAAGATATGCTTCTGTTTCTTTATCATCTGATTGGCAACACTTAACAATTAAAAATGCACATACTCTGTTGTCGAACATACACTCACACAAATACACTTTTCAAAAACCTTGGGATGTGCAACTGCATCAGGGTGGAAAATGAGACGAACAAAATAATTACCTCTCTCTTCGGATAGGAAACAAATCCATAGCCTTTTGATTTCAAAGTTGTTGCATCCCTAATTACTTTAGCATCCCTATAATAATAAAAATAAGCATAAAAATAACGCCACAAAATTGAATCACAATAATTACTGTAAGCGCCAATAATCTCGACACTAACCTTCTCTCCCGGTAATATTTTAAATTTAATCAATTATAAATTAAATTAAGGTAAAAAGAAAAAAACTTACGACACCTCCCCGAATGGAGCAAATGCATCTTTCAATGCCTTGTTATCAACTTCCGGTGACAGATCACCAACAAATACATGAAAGTGTTTGCTAGTGTCTACCTTGGCTTGTGATCCCGGCTCCGTAGCCCAATTTACTTTCATTTCCTGAAGTTTTTTCTCTTAAATCACACATTCTTTAAATATTTCTAGCTGCCATTCTGAAGATTTAAAACCGTTACTCTGAAACATACATCAGATATGGCAGTGAAATATGAAGCTAGCAACGTCTATTTTCGAGATCTTTCAAACCATCACTTGTTTAATAAATACAAGAGCCCAACATGTCAAAATAGAGCTGCAGTAATAAAAGTTCTGCTTAGTTACGAGTTATTACTCTTGAACAAACCTTTTCCAAAAGAACTCTTTTGTTCATTGCCTGCAATGCTTGCGCAGCAGTGTAGTGATCAGCGAATTCCACGAAAGCATACGGATCATTGGTTCCCTGTAAAACGATTATAAAAAAACATCGATTGTGTGCTTTAATTTGCTCTGACGCTGTCACATTTCTGCTTCCTTCACTTTCAAGCCGAAATAGTTCAAAACGAACGAAATTTAGAAACAACTCAAAACATACAAATTGAAGGACTCAAAAATGAAACAGCATCAAATGTTGTTGCACATCTGACACTCACCTGTTCCGTTTCAGTTGACAACATGCCCTTCCTTACTCGCACCTATTACTACTACTACTAAGTACCATAACCTCTTCCTGTCCTGAGGTAACTGGAATCGGAATGCTGCGCAATGCCATCGGGTACTTACCTTTTCATGGGGTGATGTAGTCTCAAGGCTATTTGGGTTCAATGTTTTTTCTTTCTAGTGAGTGTATGATTTTTTTTGTTTTAATAAATAGAAATTGAAGAAATTCGACAATAATATAAAGAAGGAAAGCGAATGAATGAAATGAAAAAGAATGAAAAAAATTCAAAGATATAATGAAAATGATGAAATAATTAAATTTGAAAAAATTGGTACTTAGCCAAAGAGCGCGAAATGCCCCGGCATGTGAATTAGAGTCTGTGTATATGAGACAACTTGAGTACACTCTCCCTGTTCTCCAAATATTCACATATTCATATCATATCCACATCCTGTTTGTGAGATGTGCAATAAAGTAGTAACAGTGATAGTTGTAGTAGCAATTAGCATCAAGTAGTCCTTACCAACAACGCCATGTGTATATCTCCCTATTATCTGCGTACATATCATATCACGTCCGATTTTTCTTTTTCTATTGAAAGGAGAAAAATTCAAAACTCTTTACAATGAATGAACCGGAAAGTGTATAAAAAATGAACGAGGAAAAAATGAAAAAAATTTGAATAAAAATAACAAAGAAGCGTCGCTACCCACCAAAGCGGACGTGAATGATATTGTAAACAATAACAAGTTGCAAAAAGAATGCACATATTTCTCTCAAATACCTCAAAATTTTAAACTACCACAACTCTAAAACGCTATGCAAAAATCAAAGACGTACATCAAAGATGACTTTTGTTTTTGTTACAGCACCAATCTGCCCAAATAACGTGGTAATAAAGTCCTCAGTTATACTTGGATCCAAATTTCCAACATAGCTGAAATTATACCTAGGAGCAGTGGTGTTAATCTAAAATTCGATAAAGAGCAACAGATATGTAAACATTCATCTAGGTTGGGTTTTCACATTAATACTTAATAGCAAGAAAGAAATTTGAAGTGTTACACAGGGTAGAAAGGAACGTACACAGTTCTTGGTTGATGATCTTCACTACCAGTATCAAATCCAGCATTCTGTGCTGCTTGGAAATGATAACGGGCATTGTAAGCTCCTCCTGAGCTACCGCAACTGCCGCCTCCACCAGTTCCAGGACCCATCACACCTTGCATCATTCCCGTTTCATCGTGTCCATAAGGAGTGGCTACTTGCTGTCCATAACCATATGCTCCGTAGCCGTATGAGTTAAACTGCAAAACGAAAAATA